ATTATAATTATAATATTAGTATATTATTTATAATAGCATTTAAATATTATTATAAATTAGAAATATTTACCTTATTAGCAAGTAAACTAAACATGTCAATATATTTTAATAAAGAGAATTTCTTGAAAAAAATTTGGATTAAGGGTTGTACGCTTATTCGTCATAACATTTTTAGCATCTGAAAAAAGACATTCACTTGGAATAGATGTTGCTGGAATAGATAAATATTTACGTGCTATAATTGCTAATATAGGATATTTTTGTTTATTTTCATTCCACCAATCAAAAGGATTTGTATTAGGATTTGATTTTCTTTCTTTAAAATAATTATCAACTTTATTTATTTTTTTATTATATTGTTGCTCTTCATCTCCAAAAAGTATATTAAAAATGGAATCATCAGATAATTTTCTTTTAGTTACTTGAATTTCTGATAAATCATCATTTGGATTTAATTCATATTTTAAAAAATCATAGAAATATTGAACTTTAAATTCAATTTCTAATTTTATTTCATTATTAGACAAAAAACTAAAATCTTTATATCTTGGATCTAATATTGTTGAAATAAGTGCAATTTGATTAGGATTTTTCCAATAGAAATTTAATGTTTTAATAATTGTTTCTAATACTTTTTTAATTATTTGTTCAGTTTCTGTAAGATTTGATATTGATACTTGTATCTTTTTTGATGTTTCTTTATAATTAACTTTTCTAGATTTTCTTAAATTATGTTTAGATAGTCTAATAATAACTGGTTCATTACTAATTTTATCTGTTTCTGAATCTGAGCTTATAGTATCTTCTGAAATATAATTATCTAATAATATTTCTTCTATATTTTCTATATATAAAAATATAATTTTAAATAAAATAATAATAAAATTTAAATTTTATAAATAAACTTACCAATTTCATTAATATTATTATTATCATCATTTTCTAAATCTTTAATATTTATTTTAAATCTTTCTTTTAATTTTTTTTGAAAATTACTTTTAATGTTCAATAATAAGTAATATTGATAATATTGTTGCATAATTAACTCCACTAAAAAATGTAATTACTTCATCAAATAGTTTAAATATTTTACATAATTTTTCTAAAAGAATCCATTCTTCATCACATATCATAATTCTTTGTAAACATTGTTCATCAAGTTTATCATTTTTATTTTCTTTAAGATGCAAAGTTACATTTAAACAAATTATTAGTTTTTTTAACTCAAGTAACCTTTTTCATGAATTATATTTAGAATTCCAACAGGTTTGAACTTCATTAATATTTTTAAGTATATTTGTTGTAATAATTTCAATGGATTCTTCATCATTAGAATTTTCTGCTTTTTCATTATTTTTTTTACTAATCTCTTTTTGTATTTCTTTAAGTTTTTCAGATTGTTTTGGAGATAAAAAAATTTTAACTAATTTTCGATATCATTTAACTTGTTTACTAATTGTATCTAAAGTTTTATTAATTGTTAATTATAAGGTATGTGTAACGCATGTAATCTTTGAATATTATTATTGCTATTATTTAAATATTAATTGCTATTTTCATATTACTACTATTATCAGTAATTATACAAATAATTTTTTTTTAAATAAGTTGTAATAACATCAGCTGTATATGAATAAGAAACTTTTTCATAACTAATTAAAATATCATATAATTTAAAATTTTTATTTAACCAATGACTAGTTATTTCTATATATCCTATTTTACTTTTTGCTGTTCATAAATCAGTTGTAATTGAAATAAATTCACAGGAATTAATAATTAAAGGTAATAAATTTTTAACTCCAACTTTATATATTTCTGAAATTAAGATTTTAATAGTTTTATCACAAGGTATAACAAATGCTGGGTCAAGTTTAAAAAGAAATTTTTTAAATCTATCACTTTTTAATATATTAAATGGTTGAGAATTAGTAATAATAAATTCAAGTAATGCTATATTTAATTTATATTGTTGTAATTTTCCATAAAATATTATTTTGTTAAATATTGAACTAATTTTTTGTTGATATTTACATTCCTATATATGATTTAATTAAATTAATAAATTAATTATTATATTTATTATATATAATTAATTAATAAAATTATATTATCTTATTTTTCTCACCATTATCAGTTATATTATGAACTATATTAAATGATATTTTAATTTTGAAGTAGAACCTGTAAACTTATAAAATATATCACATAATCTTCTTTTCCATGTTTTATTACAAGTACTATACAATATACTTTTTCATCATCAATTTTTTTAAAATACTTTCATACTATACTTTGTTCACTTTTTAATTTTTTAGTTTGATGAGTAGGAATTGAAAAAATTGAAATTAAGGATCTTTTAGAAATTGAAGAGAAGGTGCAGATGATTGTGGAATTGAAGATTCAGATTGAGATCCTTCAATATCTCTATATTCTAAAAATTCATCACTTATTATTCTTAAAAAAAATTTAAAAAAAATAAAAATTTTTATGTTTTAATGAGAATATTAAATTTGATATAAATTATATAAAGTGATGAATTCTTTTAAAAAATAAAAAAAAATGGTAAAGTTTAAAAAATTAAAAATAAAGTTTGAATGAAAAAAAATAAAAAAATAAACTCCTTTTACGCTTTTTAAATTTTCAATAGTGTTTTTTTAAATTCTTTGATACAATGACTTAACTTTTCCAATGCGATTTTACAAAACTTTAAATTTTAATTGGTTAATATAATATGTGGCTTGTATATGCAGAAATTTTATGCAACTTGCATATTGCAAAAGTTATCTCAAATAAACTTGCATGCAGAAGATTTTGGATAATTAATAATAATTTAACTGATTAATTTAACCAGTTAATTTATCTGGTTAATTCATTTGGCTAAATTAACCATTTTAATCAGTTAATAAAATATCTTAACCAGTTAACATTAACCAGTTCCAACTAAAGATGGTAACAACAATTATTTTATTATGTTGCAACAAATAAAAAATTAATTAAATGTTATAACATGATTAA